GCGCTGGAGGGGGTTGTTAGTAAACGAGGCCAACTGTACATGGTCACAGGTTTATTTATTACTGTGCATTGTTTTGAAGATGCGCTGGAGGTTTGTTGGTAAACGAGGCCAACTGTACATGGTCACAGGTTTTTATTACTGTGCATTGTTTTGAAGATGCGCTGGAGGGGGTTGGTGGTAAACGAGGCCAACTGTACATGGTCACAGGTTTATTTATTACTGTGTATTGTATTGAAGATGCGCTGGAGGGGGTTGTTGGTAAACGAGGCCAACTGTACATGGTCACAGGTTTTTATTACTGTGCGTTGTTTTTAAGATGCGCTGGAGGGGGTTCTTGGTAAACGAGGCCAACTGTACAAGGTCACAGGTTTTTATTACTGTGCATTATTTTGAAGATGCGCTGGAGGGGGTTGTTGGTAAACGAGGCCAACTGTACATGGTCACAGGTTTTTATTACTGTGCATTGTTTTGAAGATGCGCTGGAGGGGGTTGTTGGTAAACGAGGCCAACTGTACATGGTCACAGGTTTATTTATTACTGTGCATTGTTTTGAAGATGCGCTGGAGGGGGTTGTTGGTAAATGAGGCCAACTGTACATGGTCACAGGTTTATTTATTACTGTGCATTGTTTAGAAGAGGAGGTTGTTGGTAAACGAGGCCAACTGTACATGGTCACAGGTTTATTTATTAATGTGCATTGTTTAGAAGAGGAGGTTGTTGGTAAACGAGGCCAACTGTACATGGTCACAGGTTTATTTATTACTGTGCATTGTTTTGAAGATGCGCTGGAGGGGGTTGTTGGTAAACGAGGCCAACTGTACATGGTCACAGGTTTTTATTACTGTGCATTGTTTTGAAGATGCGCTGGAGGGGGTTGGTGGTAAACGAGGCCAACTGTACATGGTCACAGGTTTATTTATTACTGTGCATTGTATTGAAGATGCGCTGGAGGGGGTTGTTGGTAAACGAGGCCAACTGTACATGGTCACAGGTTTATTTATTACTGTGCATTGTTTAGAAGAGGAGGTTGTTGGTAAACGAGGCCAACTGTACATGGTCGTAGGTTTATTTATTACTGTGCATTGTTTAGAAGAGGAGGTTGTTGGTAAACGAGGCCAACTGTACATGGTCACAGGTTTATTTATTACTGTGCATTGTTTTGAAGATGCGCTGGAGGGGGTTGTTGGTAAACGAGGCCAACTGTACATGGTCACAGGTTTTTATTACTGTGCATTGTTTTGAAGATACGCTGGAGGGGGTTGTTGGTAAACGAGGCCAACTGTACATGGTCACAGGTTTTTATTACTGTGCATTGTTTTGAAGATGCGCTGGAGGGGGTTGTTGGTAAACGAGGTCAACTGTACATGGTCACAGGTTTTTATTACTGTGCATTGTTTTGAAGATGCGCTGGAGGGGGTTGTTGGTAAACGAGGCCAACTGTACATGGTCACAGGTTTTTATTGCTGTGCATTGTCTTGAAGATGCACTGGGAGGGGTTGTTGGTAAACGAGGCCAACTGTACATGGTCACAGGTTTTTATTAATGTGCATTGTCTTGAAGATGCGCTGGGGGGGTTGTTGGTAAACGAGGCCAACTGTACATGGTCACAGGTTTTTATTACTGTGCATTGTTATGAAGATGCACTGGAGGGGGTTGTTGGTATACGAGGCCGACTGTACATGGTCACAGGTTTATTTATTACTGTGCATTGTTTTGAAGATGCGCTGGAGGGGGTTGTTGGTAAACGAGGCCAGCTGTACATGGTCACAGGTTTATTTATTACTGTGCATTGTTTTGAAGATGCGCTGGAGGGGGTTGTTAGTAAACGAGGCCAACTGTACATGGGTTGCTTTCGGCTCCTCTACCTTGTCCTTCACATCTTCGCCGTGTATACTTTGTAAAACATTTGTAGTTGAATGTTGGCATATTAAACATATTAGTATACTGATCACATAAAACTACACAAGACTAACTGTACATGGTCACAGGTTTATTTATTACTGTGCATTGTTTTGAAGATGCGCTGGAGGGGGTTGTTAGTAAACGAGGCCAACTGTACATGGTCACAGGTTTATTTATTACTGTGCATTGTTTTGAAGATGCGCTGGAGGTTTGTTGGTAAACGAAGCCAACTGTACATGGTCACAGGTTTTTATTACTGTGCATTGTTTTGAAGATGCGCTGGAGGGGGTTGGTGGTAAACGAGGCCAACTGTACATGGTCACAGGTTTATTTATTACTGTGTATTGTATTGAAGATGCGCTGGAGGGGGTTGTTGGTAAACGAGGCCAACTGTACATGGTCACAGGTTTTTATTACTGTGCGTTGTTTTTAAGATGCGCTGGAGGGGGTTCTTGGTAAACGAGGCCAACTGTACAAGGTCACAGGTTTTTATTACTGTGCATTATTTTGAAGATGCGCTGGAGGGGGTTGTTGGTAAACGAGGCCAACTGTACATGGTCACAGGTTTTTATTACTGTGCATTGTTTTGAAGATGCGCTGGAGGGGGTTGTTGGTAAACGAGGCCAACTGTACATGGTCACAGGTTTATTTATTACTGTGCATTGTTTTGAAGATGCGCTGGAGGGGGTTGTTGGTAAATGAGGCCAACTGTACATGGTCACAGGTTTATTTATTACTGTGCATTGTTTAGAAGAGGAGGTTGTTGGTAAACGAGGCCAACTGTACATGGTCACAGGTTTATTTATTACTGTGCATTGTTTTGAAGATGCGCTGGAGGGGGTTGTTGGTAAACGAGGCCAACTGTACATGGTCACAGGTTTTTATTACTGTGCATTGTTTTGAAGATGCGCTGGAGGGGGTTGGTGGTAAACGAGGCCAACTGTACATGGTCACAGGTTTATTTATTACTGTGCATTGTTTTGAAGATGCGCTGGAGGGTGTTGTTGGTAAACGAGGCCAACTGTACATGGTCACAGGTTTATTTATTACTGTGCATTGTTTAGAAGAGGAGGTTGTTGGTAAACGAGGCCAACTGTACATGGTCGTAGGTTTATTTATTACTGTGCATTGTTTAGAAGAGGAGGTTGTTGGTAAACGAGGCCAACTGTACATGGTCACAGGTTTATTTATTACTGTGCATTGTTTAGAAGAGGAGGTTGTTGGTAAACGAGGCCAACTGTACATGGTCACAGGTTTATTTATTACTGTGCATTGTTTTGAAGATGCGCTGGAGGGGGTTGTTGGTAAACGAGGCCAACTGTACATGGTCACAGGTTTTTATTACTGTGCATTGTTTTGAAGATGCGCTGGAGGGGGTTGGTGGTAAACGAGGCCAACTGTACATGGTCACAGGTTTATTTATTACTGTGCATTGTTTTGAAGATGAGCTGGAGGGTGTTGTTGGTAAACGAGGCCAACTGTACATGGTCACAGGTTTATTTATTACTGTGCATTGTTTAGAAGAGGAGGTTGTTGGTAAACGAGGCCAACTGTACATGGTCGTAGGTTTATTTATTACTGTGCATTGTTTAGAAGAGGAGGTTGTTGGTAAACGAGGCCAACTGTACATGGTCACAGGTTTATTTATTACTGTGCATTGTTTTGAAGATGCGCTGGAGGGGGTTGTTGGTAAACGAGGCCAACTGTACATGGTCACAGGTTTTTATTACTGTGCATTGTTTTGAAGATACGCTGGAGGGGGTTGTTGGTAAACGAGGCCAACTGTACATGGTCACAGGTTTTTATTACTGTGCATTGTTTTGAAGATGCGCTGGAGGGGGTTGTTGGTAAACGAGGTCAACTGTACATGGTCACAGGTTTTTATTACTGTGCATTGTTTTGAAGATGCGCTGGAGGGGGTTGTTGGTAAACGAGGCCAACTGTACATGGTCACAGGTTTTTATTGCTGTGCATTGTCTTGAAGATGCACTGGGAGGGGTTGTTGGTAAACGAGGCCAACTGTACATGGTCACAGGTTTTTATTACTGTGCATTGTCTTGAAGATGCGCTGGAGGGGGTTGTTGGTAAACGAGGCCAACTGTACATGGTCACAGGTTTTTATTACTGTGCATTGTTATGAAGATGCACTGGAGGGGGTTGTTGGTATACGAGGCCGACTGTACATGGTCACAGGTTTATTTATTACTGTGCATTGTTTTGAAGATGCGCTGGAGGGGGTTGTTGGTAAACGAGGCCAGCTGTACATGGTCACAGGTTTATTTATTACTGTGCATTGTTTTGAAGATGCGCTGGAGGGGGTTGTTGGTAAACGAGGCCAACTGTACATGGTCACAGGTTTTTATTACTGTGCATTGTTTTGAAGATGCGCTGGAGGGGGTTGTTGGTAAACGAGGCCAACTGTACATGGTCACAGGTTTTTATTACTGTGCATTTTTTTGAAGATGCGCTGGAGGGGGTTGTTGGTAAACGAGGCCAACTGTACATGGTCACAGGTTTTTATTGCTGTGCATTGTCTTGAAGATGCACTGGGAGGGGTTGTTGGTAAACGAGGCCAACTGTACATGGTCACAGGTTTTTATTACTGTGCATTGTTTTGAAGATGCGCTGGAGGGGGTTGTTGGTAAACGAGGCCAACTGTACATGGTCACAGGTTTTTATTACTGTGCATTGTCTTGAAGATGCACTGGGAGGGGTTGTTGGTAAACGAGGCCAACTGTACATGGTCACAGGTTTTTATTACTGTGCATTGTTTTGAAGATGCGCTGGAGGGGGTTGTTGGTAAACGAGGCCAACTGTACATGGTCACAGGTTTTTATTACTGTGCATTGTCTTGAAGATGCACTGGAGGGGGTTGTTGGTATACGAGGCCGACTGTACATGGTCACAGGTTTATTTATTACTGTGCATTGTTTTGAAGATGCACTGGGAGGGGTTGTTGGTAAACGAGGCCAACTCGTCACAGGTCACAGGTTTTTATTACTGTGCATTGTTTAGAAGATGCGCTGGAGGGGGTTGTTGGTAAACGAGGCCAACTGTACATGGTCACAGGTTATTTATTACTGTGTACTGTTTTGCAGATGCGCTGGAGGGAGTTGTGGGCTGGAAGAGGAAGCGTGGCAGGAGACCTCCTCAGTTGATGGCTCATATCAAAAGTAAGTCATACATTCGTTATGCCAATTAGGGTAGAATCACTAGGAACATTTGATTTAGTATGTCTTTGGTAGAATAATAATAAGTAGTTCGTGATAAATCATCCATAAGCAATTTTGTATTTGTTTGATAAATTCACAGCACTAACTTCGAAGGATTTTATGTTATGCAACTGTATACTCAAACCCTTTAGATCGTTCAACTGTTGATTTTTATATTTTGTAATGCATCCTTATAGTAATTACGAAAATGCATAAGGTATGATTGGTTATTTTTATATTTTCAATCCTAGCAGTATGTATTTATCAATATCACAAGATGTTGTGAAAGGTACCATCCTGTGCTGAAAAGATTAAAACTATAGGGAAATACACCGTAAAAACATAATGTTAAATTGATTAAAGAACCGGTTACTGTATAGTAAAAATCATTCCTTCAATTCAATTCGAGAGTCCTCATTTCAGCATGTTTTGGTTGGGTATATTTTATATTCTTCGGATATGTTGCGAATAGTGTAGCCTTAAGTATAAGTGCAATATATTGGTCTGCTCGATGAGATAAAATAATATTTACCTATCTAATCTCAAATGTTGTTTATTCATAAAGTTGTGATAAACAATATCTATAGCTGTTTCATCGCCATTATTTGTATTTTGGTTTAACGTTAAATGTCCGTGGATTATTTCCTCGATATATGGGTTGTTTTGAGAATCTACTAAAAGTTCGTTTAACCACCAAACAAATTCAGCCGGAACCGATCAAAATACTTCCAACGAAAACAATCCACGCAATTTATATACTTACAGCACTAATAGTCAATATACCCCACTTGTTGTGAGCACACAAATAATCACAAATATATGCACGACAATAATTATTTGATATTTGAGCACGATAGAACCCTTCTGCATGATCTCACATAGCATTAGACATTAGACAGGCACAATCACACCACAGTTACCAACACAACAACAATGAACATTGTCTGTTACAGGTCCACCAACATTGCTGCACAAGAAGACAGTATTACAAACACAACTTTAAACTGTGACGTGTAAAGTGCGTAACGTGTGTGTATCGTGCGTGGTGAGTGTGCGTGCGTGTGTCAGTGTAGCACTTTATATGCGCAACAATGGGCAAAGGTGATAAGAGAGGCGTTCAACAAAAGCCTGATGGTGAGTTTGCCAAACAGTTATCAGTCTGTCTCTTTATCTTTCTCTTCATTTTTCTAATGCACGATTGGTCATACTGGGTGTTCAAGACCATCCGAACTTCACCGTATTTACTGTCGTTCACTCTATGTAGACACTAAACTCTACCCTACTTCACCACTAGCATGTGTCAATGTAAAATTATTGTATTGGTTTTATGTGTACAAATACAAATGCTATTACATTTTATGTTTTTAATATACACTCACTTATAAATCTTTCATACTATTTACGCCTCTCTTGTAAATAATCTGCAATCCAGATGTATAATAATCTTCTCAATTTGCGTTTACATTTATACGTGATTTAATTAATCCATCTATACTCTAAAAGACTCTTGGCTGATTTCATTGAATAACACTTCCAGCTAAATAAATGTGTTTATGGGTTGTATATAATAATCTCTAAAACATTATGAAAATATATGTTTCGACAGAAACTGTAATAGTGTACAATATTGTAAATAGGCCTTTATAAATAGGTTAGCAAATGCGAGTTAATAAATGGCCTTTGCATTAATCATCAGGCTCAAATGGATAACATTTCTTTTCATTAACCCATTGAATTATATTCATACGATAAATGTGTGCAGTTTCAGACTTGAAGGTAATTATATAAAAATAAAAAAATACATCGTACTTGTATACTCGGTAAAGAAGATTGTACTTCCTACCCTTCATGTTATGACATTATGTAATATGAATTCATAGTCTTATTCCGAGCAAAGTTGTATGAGAGGTACGTAGGTTATAAATAGTCAGGAATAGAACCTGTCATTAGTAATTAATATATTTTGTTCTCTGATCTACAAATCTCAGGCACACGAAGGTAGGAAACACACTTTCAAGTTTATATAAGTCGTTTTGACACATAAATTGAATGAGTCTTGTTACTGTTCTGTAAGCCAATAAGTTCCCTTGAGTACAATTAGAAGATTGTGTTTGGCATCGGATTTCAATTCTACTCGAGAAGACAATGGAGTTTATTGGTTCAAAGTTCTCGCAGAAGTCGGATCTCAGTGTCTCAGGATTAGAGAGTCTCTGAGTAATTATTACAGCGAACCTGTAACCAAAGTATAAGTCTACGTAGCATAGTTTCAGGGCTTGTAGGGAGCAACGCAACAACGATAAAAGACTCACTAACTAGCAACGGACCTCTAACCAAAGTGTAAGTCTACGTAGCATAGTTTCAGGGCTTGTAGGGAGCAACGCGACAACGATAAAAGATTTTGTACTAGCAACGGACCTCTAACCAAAGTGTAAGTCTACGTAGCATAGTTTCAGGGCTTGTAGGGAGCAACGCAACAACGATAAAAGACTCACTAACTAGCAACGGACCTCTAACCAAAGTGTAAGTCTACGTAGCATAGTTTCAGGGCTTGTAGGGAGCAACGCAACAACGATAAAAGACTCACTAACTAGCAACGGACCTCTAACCAAAGTATGAGTCTACGTAGCATAGTTTCAGGGCTTGTAGGGAGCAACGCAACAACGATAAAAGACTCACTAACTAGCAACGGACCTGTAACCAAAGTATGAGTCTACGTAGCACAGTTTCAGGGTTTGTAGGGAGCAACGCAACAACGATTCAAGACTCACTAACTAACAACAGACCTGTAACCAAAGTATGAGTCTACGTAGCATAGTTGCACGGCGTATAGGGAGCAACGCAACAATGATTCAAGACTCACTAACTAACAACGGACCTGTAACCAAAGTATGAGTCTACGTAGCATAGTTGCACGGCGTATAGGGAGCAACGCAACAATGATTCAAGACTCACTAACTAACAACAGACCTGTAACCAAAGTATGAGTCTACGTAGCATAGTTGCACGGCGTATAGGGAGCAACGCAACAATGATTCAAGACTCACTAACTAACAACGGACCTGTAACCAAAGTATGAGTCTACGTAGCATAGTTGCACGGCGTATAGGGAGCAAAGCAACAACGATTCAAGACTCACTAACTAACAACAGACCTGTAACCAAAGTATGAGTCTACGTAGCATAGTTGCACGGCGTATAGGGAGCAACGTAACAATGATTCAAGACTCACTAACTAACAACGGACCTGTAACCAAAGTATGAGTCTACGTAGCATAGTTGCACGGCGTATAGGGAGCAAAGCAACAACGATTCAAGACTCACTAACTAACAACAGACCTGTAACCAAAGTATGAGTCTACGTAGCATAGTTGCACGGCGTATAGGGAGCAACGCAACAATGATTCAAGACTCACTAACTAACAACGGACCTGTAACCAAAGTATGAGTCTACGTAGCATAGTTGCGCGGCGTATAGGGAGCAACGTAAAAATGATTCAAGACTCACTAACTAACAACGGACCTGTAACCAAAGTATGAGTCTACGTAGCATAGTTGCGCGGCGTATAGGGAGCAACGCAACAACGATTCAAGACTCACTAACTAACAACGGACCTGTAACCAAAGTATGAGTCTACGTAGCATAGTTGCGCGGCGTATAGGGAGCAACGCAACAACGATTCAAGACTCACTAACTAACAACAGACCTGTAACCAAAGTATGAGTCTACGTAGCATAGTTGCTGGGCTTGTACAGAGCAACTATTAAGACTCACTAAATAGATCTACGTAGCATAGTTGTTTTGCTAAACAAGCTAGGCCCACTGTAAAACATTTGGCTTATGTTTCCTTAACTAATTGAGACTTTGGGCAACCTGCGGGAACCTGGGCTAGGACATGAGGAAACCCTACTTCCTTTGACTTGGCTATTTACCAAAGATACTTATCATTTTACGGAATAATACAGATTTGTGAATATGGCTATTAACTTGGACCTTAAGTTAAAAAAATACATTATAAATTTTAAAAAGACAAGCCTTATTATATAAAAACCTAGACATCAAATCAACTAAGACAGTATTCTTATATAGTAATAGAAAAAAAACCAATTCAATTGACTCACGAATATGAACGTATTAGACCAAGTTATCGCGGTAAACAGTTGATGTCCTCTAAAAAAACAAACAACGACTATTATGTTCTAATATTATTGAATTTGCAAAGTTTCAATGATTAATATACCTTAAGAGCCCCCTACATTGTTAATTTTTGAACGGGTGCATATACATATGTAAACGAGCTTCGATATACGTTACTAGGGTAATGTAAAGTACTTTTTAGGGGTATTTTGAATTTCAGCCCCCCACTCCCATATAGGGGTTGATTAAATTAAGGTACCTTAAATTTGTTTTTTTAATGGCAACCCCTATCAAGTAGCACATCATTTTAAAGAGCTTAAAAAATAAAAAAATGCCGAAAATCCAACCTTGATACGGAAAGTTTTCAAAATGTTACGGCAAGAAATGTTAGACGTTAATTTAACTGAAACTTTACATTCCATCATTTTTTTCATGGCTATACATTTTCAAATGTCAGTACACGTGATGATATAACGCACTGTTTAACATGATTTTGAATTTCATCACCACCCCCTAAAACTATTAATCAATTAATTTTAAGTGGTCCCCACCAACCCATATTTAAGGGAGGGGGGGTGAATTTCAAAATACTGTACCACCAAAAAGTAATTTACATTACCTTAGTAACGTGTATCAAAGCTCGTTTGAATATAGAGGTTCACAAATTAACCAAGGGGACTATTTTTTATATGAAATAACTACTTGATATTTATTTACATATAGTTGTGAGAAAGGATAGGAGGATCCTATCCTTTCTCACACCTATTCTCAGGCAATAAGCCCTTTCTCTCCGAACCTGATATTTATTTATGATATGCTATTATTTCTTTAAAAACATTTCTTCATTAGAACGATGGACTAATGATAAATATGAAATAGAAACACCTCTTGACCTCTTTCTAGTATAAAACTTGAGATGTTATTAGCAATCAGAGGGTTTATACAACAATAATGCTCCAAACATTCCATTTGTTTAGTATTTTGTACGTGATTGTTAAAATACAGTAAATTTGTTTTATTCTAAAATATTGTTTACCTCGTGGAACCAGTATCGAAAATAATTGAAAATCTTTGTCAATGAGTCTTTTTAAAGAAGTATTTATTGTTTTTTTTTACTATGTACAGCACAATAATACCTTACAAAAGAGAAACAATAACCACCTTAGGTTAGATTAGAACCTATGTCGGTGGATTTAATACACTTGACTAGCTAAAGTTCTTAAGTATTGAAGAGGTGGTTTGTCCGGTTGTTTAAATAATTTTGTTATGATTAGCCTACAGTGAATGTGAGTATTACACAGTGATCATCTTCAGCACAAAGTAAAAACCAAACATATATAAAAAATAATACAAAATTAAGTAAAAAAAATACTCATACAGTATTACCTAAAATCTATATACATCTCAATAATATACATTCTGCATCTTCTAAACTTAATGAACAAGGCAACAGATGCCTAGAGAAATCTGCTACAGAGGTGGTTTTGTATGGTAGACTACTAAACATTTTACGTGCAAGATATAAATAGAACTTTTTAAGATATTAATTTTGTTTTTGGAACAATGTTTAGTACATGAAAAAATTGTAATGAATCCCATCGTTTTAAAGGAATACTGTATCTGGGAATTGCCTGTTCCTTTTAAATAAACTATCTGACAATAAATACACAATTTATTAATTATTAATGTACGTACAAACACATTCAAGGGAATTGTTTGTGGTATAAACTACATACTTAGTCAAAACTTTAGTTTTACGTCTTGATTAACGAAATCATCGTTTATAAATGAATAAACGAGAACCTCTAGAAGATAATGTGGTCCAACCTCGATGCAAATGAATGGCAGCTCAACAACGAACCTATAACACATGAAATGTATTTTGATGGGGATATTATTTGCTACAACACAACAGCTCGCTGTCTTGGGGCATATATCTCACCCTTGTATTCATATTCTAAGTACTTCCTCTGGGCAAGCTTTATTACTTCCCCTCCCTT